TTGTCGACGAATGTGTACTCCTGCCGGACGACCATTTAACATCCATCCAGATGACCACCCATCAGATCCATCATGGATAGCACGGCACTCGTCGGTCAAAATCACATTGCTAAAATTGGTCTTCATATAACTGTGTGCCCATTCAACTCTTTTCATCTTGTTTGCTTTGCTCAATGGGGGCCTCTTGATGGGACTCTTCACTTTGGTAAAGATCTTGGGGACCTCACAACGGGTAGGTTTACCAACTTTGGGCACTCCAGCGCTTTCAAATATTTTTTTACTAGTTTCATGCGGTTTTTTCGAGACTTCATATTTAATTTTACGAAGATCTCTGGCAGTTAACTTTCGCAAATGCGATTGTTTAGGTGTCTTTCTGCATGATTTACTGCCTAAGACGAATGCTTTGATTGTACGGTGGTCTCTATGTAACTTTTTTGAAATTTCTAGCGTTGACAGACCACTTCCAAGCATGCGAGTAATTTCAGCATGATCGTTTTCAGTAAGACCCTTTTTCTTACCCATATTAAAGATTTATATGGTAATTGCTTAATCAGACCGAACACTTGAAACTGTGCCTTTTTACATACTTTGAGAAAAAGAACTATGTTACTATACAACTTTTTTTCATTGATCATATTTTCTTGTCTGAACGTATAATTTAATCTGCAAGAAGCACCAAGTCTGAAAAAAACAGAATTTATTGACACGTTAGATGAAAAAATTACTTTGCATAATCAAGCAGAACGCACTATATATATATATATATATATATATATATATATATATATATATATATATATATATATATATATATATATATATATCATTAATAGACAAAAATTAGTTTTATTATTACCATTCATGATAATAAAAATTAAAAATGACAAACGGGCAAGCTAACCGGTTTAGAACCTCGCTCAGCAGAGCTAAATCAAGGTAAATAGAGAAAATTATATAATAATAATAATAAAAAAACAACAACAGGTGAAATTTATTGGTGGAAAAAAATTAAATGTTAATTAGTTGCAGGCTTAATATAAAGTCCTTCTGTTTACAAAGAGAAGGCTTCAAAGACAGAATACAGATGACCCCCAACACCCCCAGGTGACAACACGAGTGGGACCCGCCAAGGATAGCAAAAACGGTCTCACCAAAACCAACAGCACAACTATGGCCATTCACAAGGTGCTCTGCGATGGAAGACCCACATGCGCCGTTCAGAATGTCCGAGGGAATGCACTTCCGGCTTACGGTCAAATCACGCTGAAACACCGGCTTCTTGTTCGATCACCGAAGTTAAGCATCGTAGAGCCAAGTCAGTACTTAGATGGGGGACCGCTTGGGAACACCTGGTACGGTAAGCCCCCAAAGTCCAACCCTTACCTCACAGTCGGTGGGGGGTGTAAACGGTAGTGTCAGAGCTATGCCGTCCGGAACTTCGTTCCTGGTAGGGCCACCCAAGGCGGACAGGTCTGACACACACACACCGGCTAACAAGGGCTCTGGTGAAAATCCAAGGAGCGTCTGCATCGGTAACCGGCGGCTTCTGGTCGTTCCTGTCTCTGCATCTGTGGGAATCCCGCGGCAAGCAAGAACGTTATGCGAGTATGCCTGGGTACCCTACTTCTGCAATTTATCCCAAGAATCTTCTTCTCATAGCAGGAAGAAGGCGGCTCAATCCGCCCAGGGTGAATGCCGCATCAGGACAGGACTTCCGGCCTCGGACCCTCGCTGGAACGTGCTGTCTTAAAGTAAATTTTGTCGTTAATACCCCGAAATTCTTGTGCCTAGATATATTCTTGAATATGAACTATTTATTGAAGTTATTGATGGTAATAGACGCAAGGCATTCTTTAAACTTAATAACTCAAAAAAAGAATTTGCGGGCATATGTTTATATGGACTTTTGTTCTTGTTTTGATATATGGAAGACAACCAAAAGTTTGTAAAGTAGTTTTAGATACACGCTGTATATATATATATATATATATATATATATATATATATATATATATATATATATATATTCAGCTCTCTTTATAAATATCAATTTATCACACGATTATTATGAATATCTAATTTCTCAATCTCTTAGATATCTACCTGTCTAAATATCTATAACAACTTCTGAATAACGTAATTTTATCGTTACCATCCCCAAACTCTTGTGTCTAGATTTATTTTTGTATACGGACTATTTATTGAAGTAATTTCTCAGACTGTCTACTTCGTCTAATTGAGTATTCTTAATCTTCAAGTCTTGGCAAAAAGAGTTCTTCTTTCTCATTCGTAAGTAATTTGATTCGATAATCGCTGATTTCCTCTTTTGCCAACACACGCACAAAAACGTTTAAATGGCATTAATGCAAAATTGTCGTTCTGGAATGTGACCTATTAATGAAATTAAAAGTTTTATATTAGATTTCGTTTACCGATTCACAAAATCACATCTCCACATTTGAAGAGTGTGGCAACATGTTTGTTTTCTCCTAAATCCTTTTTTTTTATTTACAATGTCCCATACATTCAGTATCAAATATTTGATTTCTCCTTTCGTCTTTTTGCGAAGTGTTGTGCCATCCGGAAGCAGACGACAGATAATATAATCAGATAGACGTTTGTCCTAAGGGCTTCCGGCATATATTGGCCAATGAAATTTTCGGATCTATTATTTACATGTATCCTTATCGGTAAATTCGCCTCTACAAGTTTAACGAAAGTAAACAAGAATATAAAAAAATAAAATGAATATATATAAAACGAATCGGATTGCAATATTTTTTTTCTATTTGCTAACTTATTTATTCAGTTTACAGCGACGTTTATTTTAGGAGACAATTCTTTATTTTCCAACCCTACCATTTTAGTTATCTATATATTTATACTTCTACACAATTATGACTTTCCACAACTTCCTATCTCTTATAATTGTTAGTAACATTTAAAATGTTTTACCCTCCATCACACCCACGTTCTGCCATCCCTTCACTTAAACTGGTCACACTCGCTGCTTCCTGTTCTCATCTTTGGCTTCGTTATGTCAAATTACTCCAAAAATGTTTCCAAGAAATATCAGCTGTTTCGTTTTGATTATAAGAACATTATTTTTATTGTAATGACATCGATATTCGTACGCCCCCTCTGAAATTTATTCTCAGTATCCTTCTGTAGAATCACATTTCTGCTGCCTTAAGTATTTTCCTCATCTGAGAGGAAATTGTCCAGTATGAACTACCAAATAGAATGACTGAAGCACTTCGGTGTGGTGTAATGGTTAACAAGCTTTTCTCGCTACATCAGTTATAACTGAATAGTAAGTTCGATCCTCAGTTGGTGCTCCAAACTTTCAAACTTGTACCGAATCTAAGCGACACTTAGTAAATCGCTGGACACTTCGGCGTTATGCAATATTTACCAAACACTCAATTATATAAATTACAATTGAGTAGTGATTTCGATCCTCACTAGATGTTCCATACTTTCGACCTTGTGTCTCATCTAAGATACTCGTAGTAAATTATCATATACGAAAACTGTTCAGTTCAGCCTAATTTTCTGTTTTCTAACGGAATTTTCTTATTTCTTCATACTTTGATTAGCTTTACGACTGCTTTCTGTTGTGAGGGTGAATATTTTCCGACAAGTTAGGACTCGGCCGTCGGACGAAAGACATAAAAATAATCCCACATCAATAAAGAGGAGAAGGATGAGCAATAGCAGCAATAGCCTTTGCTGAAAACACTTATTCAGGGCTAAATATTCTCTTCCCTATTTACTATTCTACATTATGTTTCCCTGTACCAAAAGGTAATTGTTGTATCGTCGAGGTGAATGATACACAAAGAAGAATGAGTGCTTAATATATTTATTACGCACCAGTATCCGGTGATAACGGATACATACAAAAAAACAAAAAAACACAGAACAATAAGTTACAAAACAATTAACAAGACAACTTACAAGGGATAGATGAGGGCCAAATGCTGTATAGCCAAACAAAGTAAGATCAGTCTGAATATTAATCAAATTAGTATCAACTTATTAATCAACTGTTGAAGTCCTTAATCGTAGACTATTTAAGACACTGGTAGAGTGTTGAAGAAGTGCTAGCTACTCTACAACAGTAATAAATTTGTTGTTAAACTAATTTCGGTTTTCTTTTGTCGTTTCGATAACTAAGTTAAACACTGCTATTGTCAAAATTCTCAATACAAGAAAATTTCAATAAAAATTAAATGAGTAAATATAATCCTAAATTTTAGAAAATTGCATTTTCCAGGCATTTCTATCAATTATTTTGGCCACATAAATTCACTAAATAGATAGATAGATAGATAGATAGATAGATAGATAGATAGATAGATAGTTATTGAAATAGATGTGAACAGATTGAGAGAGATATATATGAAAACATTGAGATAGATATGAACAGATTGAAATATATATATATATATATATATATATATATATATATATATATATATATATATATATATATATATATATATATATATATATATAGAGAGAGAGAGAGAGAGAGAGAGAGATGTAAACAGATTGAGGTAGATAAATATGAACAGATTGTTATATATATATATATATATATATATGTGTGTGTGTGTGTGTGTGTAGATAGATAGATAGATAGATAGATAGATAGATAGATAGATAGATAGATAGATAGATAGATATTGAAAAAGATGTGAACAGATTGAGAGAGAGTGAGATATGAAAAGATTGAGATATGAACAGATTGAAATATATATATACAAACACACAAACATATATATATATATATATAGATAGATAGATAGATAGATAGATAGATAGATAGATAGATAGATGTGAACAGATTGAGGTAGATAAATATGAACAGATTTATAGATAGATAGATAGATAGATAGATAGATAGAAAGAAAGAAAGAAAGAAAGAGACAAAAAAGAGAGATAAGAATAGCTAAATCTACTTTAGGAATCCATTGTTGTTTTTGATACAACATTTCGTTTGCTATTCCAAAGCAAATACTTCAGTTTCGGTATCACAATTTCCATCCATTATTCAAACACTTCCCAGATATTTACAATTCCCTAATTGTTTGCTTATGCCATATTTAATTGGAAGATCGCATCTTTGGTATTTTCTCTTGCTGACAATGGCAAATTCTACCTTCTTTTAATGACTGTAATACATTTCTTACCAAATTGTTTGGAAGGTACAACTTTCCTTTTGTGTCTATCATCAACGCAGGCTCATCTATCATATATTAAGATTTTTGTCACCGATAATGAAACTTTGTAGGGTCTCTAAATTTCATGCCTGGTTCTATGGTTAGTTGGTTGGTTTTGTGTAGCGGTATATCAAGCACTACAGTTGGTTACCTCGGCGTGGTTTAATGGTTAGCAAGTGTGCCTCGCTAAAACAGTTATCGACCTCATAGTGAATTCGATCATCGATGTCTCATACTTTTTGCTTTGTGCCACATCTAAGCTACGCTTAGAAAATCAATATCAATCGCTACGATTTATTTAATACCGTGTTGTGTCGGAAACCTACCACCCCTCTGGAAGATGAACTTGTCTGTGAACAAAGACTTTAAATAGTGGCATGTCAGTCGAGATGAGGAGAGCTAGACAGAGAAGTTCTTAGCTGAGCTAGTTATTGACTACTCAGGCGATTTCTGTACCTTGTTACCAACCTATTGAAACCCTTTTTATTGTTACGTGTTATTTGGCGTTTGTCTCTACTAACCCCAAATCAACATCATAACATACCGAAATGTAAACAATTTGAACAAATTTATGACTTCAATTAAATATGTTTTAAACGCAATTGTATACTATCAAATACAGATAAAAAGTATTGTTGGTCATTTTGCTATAAAAAATTATTATTGGTATTTGTTTTATATAAATATCTATTACTGGTATTTTTACTATAAATATGTATCTTTATACATTCATACTGTTTTGTTTTTTTCTTTAGGAGTTCCCTTTTGGCCCATAACTGGGACCCTAACAGGTGCTACCGCCCAGGTTTCGGTAGCCCTGCGAACAACAGTAATTAAGACGTGGTTCTACAATCCTCAAAACCTTCAATCACCTGATCAGAGGCCGTGCTACAGGATGTAGTCCCCGCTCTATATTTTGAATATATTTTTTATTAATGAATGCAAGAAATATAAAGCAAGAAAAGCTATTGATACACAAGTTAGAACCTATGACAAGATTTAATCAAGGTAAGAGAAATTCACTTCTAGAAACTTCGAACAAACACACACACATACACATATATCTAAACGATGTTTCATGAAGACAGATCAAAGTTAGCAGTAATTAAATCAGTGTTATTGGTAAAAATTTAATTATTTTTCTATTAGATCATGCTATTTAAGTCATGGCAATTATGTGTGAAAAATAATAGCGTCCAAATGTCCGAAATATCTGAAACAAAAAGAAGAAAAATTGGACGCTTAATCATAATTCACATTCCAAATTAGTGTAGCACCCTTTATATATATATATATATATATATATATATATATATATATATATATATTACACATAGAATCAATCAGCAATATTAATGCGATTAATGGCGAAATCACTTCGCTAGTAGAACATAATGTATGCATTAAAATACTGATGTGATCCTCATTTATAAAACTGTTGTCAGATGTTTCTAGTGTATTTCGCTATTAATCGCATTAATATTGCTGATTGATTCTATGTGTGAATATTCTTTGTATATAAAATATATGCTGCCAAATATATATATATATATATATATACATATATATATATATATATATATATATATTCGAACAAATAAAAACTTTCTGCTCTCTAGTCGTAGGATCTAGTAATTTAATTTATTGCCTCTCTTATCCTCAACAATCCCAAGGCATTTCCCTTACAGACAGATTTGATTTGATTTCGACCTAAAGAACTTACGTCACCTCCGCGAAAAACGTTGTTTAAATGTTTTACCACTTTGTTTCAAAACACTAATACTGATTTTGTCTATTTTTATTAATATTTTTCGTTTTTTTTTCTATCTTTGCTATACAAGTATTGTTAATATTAGACTTTAACGCATTTTACTTTTTTTCTAATCCGTTGTTTCCTTTATCTTTTCTCTATCATTTTTATTATTATTATTTTCTCTTTTTCTATAACCTTTTTAGTGTTTGTAACGTGTTTATTTACTTATTTATTTTTATTTGCATTCATTATTTTTATTTATTTATTAATTTATTTGATTTATTTATATTTCTCTTTTATTTTATAACATTTTGTATTATTTTATTTTCATTAGTATGTATTATTTTATTTAGTACTTTAATTTGATTTTATCAAGGCATATTTTATAATTACTGATATCACTACACTTATTTAGTTTAACATTAATATTAATAATATTATTAATTTATCGATTTTCATGGAAAAAAACAGGGTTGCCGCCCCTTGATTTTCAAACGTTTTTTCTTATATATTCCTTCTGACAGCGTCTCTCTAATTTAGAATTTAGAATTCTTATTACCAATATTATTTCCAATCTTAAATGCTAATCTGAGCCTAAATTTAAACCCATAATTCAACTACAATTCACTTAAATATGTTAACAACGATAATAATCCAATCCTATAATAAAATATCTCGCGATAAACAGAAATATTAGAGGAGATTGACACCAAAAATTGCACCTGTCAAATGCAGAAAGTATGAAACTCCGAGTCGTGCAATCAATGTAAGATATGTATATTTCTTGATATATTAATTAACTATTATTTAACAATGAGCACTGTTTTTTTTTACTATATATATATATATATATATATATATATATATATATATATATTTATATATATATATATATATATATATCCAAGTATATAATTGGTGTATACGGAATGAATTCCAATAACCAACAATTACTATACTTAAAAAGAGTGTTCAATACAAAGTAGAGCAGATATAATTTTATTTGTAAAAAAAAGATTATAACATAAATATATATATATAAATATTTATATTATAATTTTTTTATAAAAAAATTATATATATATATATATATATATATATATATATATATATATATATTTATATATATATATATATATATATATAAACGCTCTCGTACATTTACCTATTTTTCTCCATTTGGTTATATATATATATATATATATATATATATATAGAGAGAGAGAGAGAGAGAGAGAGTAACACCGTGATTCCCCACCCGATGAGACGTTTAAAAAAGGTTTTCATTTCTTGACGTTGAAACAAAAATGTGCATTTTTGTAGTGGATATGTGCATGTTCTAATGCAACACTGCATGAGATAAATAAACATTTACTTTGTGTATTGAGCACTGTTTGTAAATTAATGTTCTGAACGAAGTAATCTTACTGTTCGTTCTTCAACACTTTGATATATATATATATATATATATATATATATATATATATATATATATATTTGTGTATATACGAATGTTCACTCGTACATTTACCTATATTTATCCATTTGGTTATATATACATACATACATATATATATATATATATATATATATATATATATATATATGTATGTATGTATGTATGTATGTATGTATTATGTGTGTCTACATAGAAGGAGAGATGAGTCAGTATCCTACCGGTACTGCCGTCTAAAACAAGACAACCATACAGGAGAAAGAAATAGCGGTAAAACTTTAAATATTTCTATGTCTGTTCCCGTGATCGTAACCAGTCAGATTTCAATTTAATCGAAATGCTATTCAAATTATCTGTTTGCATTAAACGGAAATCATTCTCGAAATCCAGTTGTATGTATGACATATCACTGCGTAACCTCATACCTCTCAATATCAGTTTATCTTTTTAAAATCACAGAAGTCCGAAACTGGTAAAGTTACTCTAATATATACCCTTAATGACTCCAATTGCATATTCAACATTTATATTTCTCTCTCTTTCTCTCTCTGTATATATATATATATATATATATATATATATATGTGTGTGTGTGTGTGTGCGTGTGTGTGTGTAAATTCCTCTTATGGGGTAATTTCACATTTTCTTATCATCTCTCAGTTGTGTCTCTGTCCTTGGGCAGAGTGCTCTCAGGGGCTTCTCTGTCAAAGGACAGAGGGGCAACTGAGGAAAATTATACTGAAGAGGTGCCCGAGGCCGCGCCCTCCCATTGCACAAGAGGGAGGGATCGGTGCTCGCACCGAGGCCAGAGCAACCGACGGTTGCGGGGGCTGAGGGGAAGTTTTGTCCCTGCCCGTGTGTACGCGCTTGGGTTCCCACATTAATCCGACCTTGTGTCACATCTCATTCTCGTGGGGGAATAAGTAAATACCGTATATATATATATATATATATATATATATATATATATATATATATATATGTGTGTGTGTGTGTGTGTGTTTCTACATATAACAAGAGATGAGTCAGTAAAAAGGTCTTTCTTACCGGTACTACTGTCCAAAAACAAGACAATCATACAGTAGAATAAAACACCGCTAAAACTTCTTCGATGTACATTGTTCTTTCGGGATGTGAGCCATCATGGATCTTCACAATTTCTTGTCCATGGTAGCTATTAATATATATATATATATATATATATATATATATATATATATATATATATATATTGCTGCCTCCCCTAATCCATGTTCTGCTAAACATTTACACAAGATCGTTACGTACGTTATACATCTGTCCTTCTTTTGTTCAACATGTCCAGTGACGTTAAAATTACCCAAGCCCTCTTTCCTCTTTATGTGCTCTAGAAATTTACACTGTCTTTTTCTGATGTTAATTAAAGGTTTCCTTTTTGTCAAATATTTCGTCATTTCTCAGATGTGTAGGCCATGGTTTTCTCAGCCTCCTTCTATAGAACAATCTTTCTGTTGCCTCAATTTACTTCATCTGTGAAGAGATTGTCTAGCATTCATAGAAAGAACTATATTTCATAACAGTTCA